CCTAGCTAGGCGCAACTTGTCCGAAGTATTTATGATAATTTCCTTCGTCGGAAAGTGAACTTGATATTTTCCCAGACGTTTTGCTGGTGTCGTGATTGGCATTTCAGGGAGTCCCATCATTCTCGGCACCAAGCCACAACTCACAACCGTTTGGCAGAAAGCTGATCAAGGGATTGGCATCACTTGTAGATTGGGACTAAGACTGTCAAAACTCTCTGACGATGCCGGCGAAATGCTTTGGAATAAACCAAGTCTGCGGTCCAACACTGGGAATTAATATAACTACAATAGAAGAGGATTTAGGCAAGGTGCATCCAACTAGACAGACCTGACGACACGAGCAAGTTGCGAAAATGAGGTGACTAAGTTCTCATTCACCAATTGCTTTAACCTCGAAAACTAGCGCTCTTGTACGAGTTTGTTGCGACTCCACACGGCACGGATTCATTGCACAATCCAACCGGCCTATACCGGGCAGCACAACGCAGTGGCAGACAGATTAATGGACCTCGAGTGGGACTTAGGGCTTGCCCAGACTAGAAATGAAGCAAAGCTGGGCTTTGAAGAATGTCGTAATGAATTAGGGTTGCTCGACCTTTCAGTTTGCAGGAAAAGTTGGTTGGAAGGAATTCTTGAATTTGTTCCATTGCAAACCGAAAGATGATTGATCGCCGTTGTGTGAAGACCATTGTGTTGTGTGAACTTATCCACGGCGCGCCGTCCTGACACATCGATTCTACAATGTTTCATATTCATTTGCCAAGTCAGATGTTAGGGAGACCTGGCGACCCAGGCAGAAGAGATTATCTGGGCATAAAACAGCCTGCAAAAGTTTGTGCTACTAATCATAACAACGTATCGAACACATGGCATACACATGACATCGTATGCAGAATGGCTGGGTACGCAAAAGTCTAATATCAACATCGACATCGGGAATAAGTGGAAATTGCTTCTTGGAGGGAGGGAAAAGGTAGTAGAGTTAACACATGATGTGCCTATAATACACAATTCCTCATGCCTACAAATGCGTAGATCTTAAGGGATCACATGCCAGCTAGCTTATGTATGTGTGATTCAACTTCACCTATCGCCAACCAAAGCGTTCGGTGTCCAATTAAGATATCAAAATTGTGTCTAAGATGTGAGTGGGTTTGCAGACGGTCACCTCTCCTATCGGTTGGGTGTGTTGTGTTTTTTTCGTAACATATGGTTTATTATTCTGACGAGGTATGCTACGACACTACGGAGTCGCCGGATGACGATCGACCCATACCCTTCATTCCAATACAAGCAATTCTCATTCACGGATTCTTGTCAGCCAGATTTTGCTTCAAAATGAAAATTTGCGTCAGTATGTTTTGAACTCGTCAAGTGGAATACT